AATTAAATAAATAAATAAATAAATACCACATAACCTTATGACTACAACTTTTGTCCCCAGTAAATGTAAACATATCTCACAAGATAAACTACAATTATAGAGTTCTTCCAAAATGAAAGAATAGGTACTTTGAGAACAAAGCAATGCTATGAAAATATGGGGTTACTGGGAAATCAGCATAGGCTGATGATGTTCCTTTATCTTGGAGTAGCTTATATATAATTTCTTTTCCCTATAAGATATCCCTTCTTGCTTCTTCCAGAAAAAAAAATGAACAGCTCTAGTTATTAACTAGTAATGTCCTCCTTCTAACTTCTTAAACATAAAATTCATTTGACTAAGAAAGTAGATAAAGATTACCAGAATTAGGTCTAAATTAACAGCAAACTGCTCAGAAGTCTGAATAGGAAAGTCCATGCACTTTAGCACAGTCTTTGTGGTTTTTATACTGGCTATTCAGAATTCATTCTAAAACACAAATCTGATCAGGAAACAACAATTAAAATTCTTGAATAGACTTCCATTCCTTAAAAAAAGCACTTTGCAACTCTAGCTGCACATCTGACTCATCCTAAACCTGCTCACAGGAATTTAAGAAAAAAATCCTCAAATTCTAATATACAACCAGAGAACCGTATTCTCTCAAGATAACGCCCCAATGGCATACAAGGCCCTTTACATCTGGCCCCCACCTACCTGTCCACACTCAACTCCACTCTTCAATTACTCTTCAGCACTTTCAACACATCTTTTACAAATGACAACAGTTAAAATTTACTGAGAACTTACTTGGTGCTAGGTACACTAAAGACTTCTCACCACTCTATCTCTATTACTGTAACCCAAGCCACCATCATCTCTCACCTGGACAACTTCAAAAGAATCCTGACTGGTCTTTTTTTGTTTTTGTTTTAATTTTTCACTATGGTCAAATAATTGCCCAATTTATTTTATAATTCTGTCAAATTTCCTCAGCTGATTATTTCAAAGAAGCAATTACTATTTCGAAAAAAAATAAAACCATGACCTTTATCCCCCAATGCCTTCTCTTCAGCCCCTCCATGGACAGTGCACCGTTCCACTACAAATTCACTTTTCAAAGTTTAGAATCAGATCCATCCTGACACTTTCTTCTGAACAGGCTAATTGACATCACTGCTCAATAGAGAATAATTCTGCTCTTAGGATTTCAAGAAACCAGTTTTCTTCGTGTGTGTGCGCGCACGCGCGCATGTGTGTGTTTACAACTCTCATATTTATCAGCTGCAAAATAAATTTTATTTAAACCTCTTAATGTAATTTTTCAGCCCACCTCTAACTGGTCTTTCTGTGTCCAGTCTTCCCTTGCTACAATCTAGTCTTTCCACACACCAAACAGAGTGGTCATTTCAATACAGAAGTTAGATCATGTCACTCACCTACAAAATCTTCCAGTGGCTTCCCATGACACATTGTCCTTAAAATACTATATGACCTCACCCCAGCCACTTCTCTAGCCTCATCTCCTCCTACTCTCCCCCTTTCTCACTGTGCTCTAGCCCCATTAATTTCCAGCTATAAGCAGGCCAGGCCCACACAGGATCCTTGCACTTATTCCCTATGCCTAGAATTCTCTCCTTCAGATAATCACATGGTCTATACTCAAATGTCACCTCTACCATACTTTTTCTTCATAGTACTAATCACTGCCTAACGTTACATATTTATTTGTTGTCTGACCCTCTCATTAGACAGCAAGATCCATCAGGGCAAGGAGTTCGTCTATCTTGTTCTCTGTTGTATCCATAGAGCCTAGAAAAATGGCTAATATACTAGGGGTCTTCAAAAAATTCATGGGAAGATTCATATTATCTTTCAATTCCATTTTTCCACAAACTTTCTGAAGTATCCATGTATAATAGGTACTCAGTAAATACTCATTTTATTACTGAATCCTCACAATACTCTGCAAGATGGGTACTATTGTTCTCATTTTACAGATGAAGAAACTGAGGCTCAAAGAGGTCACAGAACATTCCCAAGTTCATATCTAATAGAAAGTAGAGACAGAATTTGAACCAAAGTCTGGTTGACTCCAAAGTCCGAGATTAAAACCACAATGACATACTCTGCTATACTATTACAACATCTATGACACACTGTCAACCTGGCTTCCACCAGAATATGAATTCTACAAAAGGTGCAGTCTTCCTTATTACTTTTGAATACAAAGCACTAAAAGGTATATAGGGCAGATAAATTTTTGTTGGATTGCTCAATCCATCAGTGAATAAAATCATGCATGCATTCTTTCCTGGCTTAACTGTGTTCTGAATAATTAAGGAATAATAAAGGTGACCTGATAAATGACCTCCAGAATAGTAAAGGGTTACTGTTTACCATTAATTAACAGGCTAATATAAGCAGTGGAAACATTTCTTTGACTAGCTTTTTTAAACTAATTAAAATTAAAGCAGTGTCTTCCTGCACATATTGGCAAATAATACTAGAGACAGTCACAAGATTCTGTAAATTGACTCCCTTTCAAATGGATTGAAATCCCTTATGATAATCATCATACCTATTTCACTGTTGCCAAAGGAACATTAACTAATGTCTAATAAGAAAAAAATCATTGCTATGACAATAAACACATTTCTCACAACAAATATTTCATTTGTTATATACACTAATCATGACTTCTAATCCTTGACTCTTCCTTACTTTGTCTGTTACCCATTCTAAAGCCCTTTGCTGAACCTTGAGTCTAGATAACTCCCACACTGTTTCTCTTCCCCCGCTACTGCCAAGCAATAATGAAATCACAAATTTCTATAAATGGAGTCCCTTTCAAATTCATGGTAATCACCATATCTATTTCACTACTGCCATTTAAGGAACATGTATCCAACTTCCATATTCATTAAGCTGATAGCTCCTTCAGTTCCCCAACAACTCATCATATCTTTTCTATTCTTCTTAAGCCTCAACCCTACCTACAGTCCCTCAGTCTCTACTAAGCTTTTTTCCGCCTCACCTTATTATTCCCTATTTCATGTAGCTTTTCTTTTACCTTTGATTCTTAAAGTATACTCTTCCCTATGAAGGCTAACTCCTTACCTGTGCCTTGATCTTTCTGAGCTGAGTAGTTAGTAACTTCTTCATTTGCATCTTCTATAGTCCCCCCTGCCTCCATCCCCATGGCTCCTTACCCTGTGTTCCTTTTCTCAGATGTCATCCTTCCCTTTTTGTTAAATAGCTCAAACATATTTTTTTTTTTTTTTTTTTTTTTTTTTTTT